CGTCATTGTAGTTGTGCTTTTAAAGTTGTAGCAATGTTTCAGCAGAATCTCATCTGCCATCAAACGTTGCTACAACTTTAAAAGCACAACTACAATGACGTGGGAAAATACCCGAACAAAGCTGAATGCCATACATGTAAGTACCCGCGAAAACTTAAGAATATATATATATGTATATGTATATGTATATCATTTAAAAGATGTCTATGGCTGCCCATCTTAAGCAACTCTGAGCAGTTTGCAACAACCATAAAACCAATAAATAAAACAATCGAAAAAATAAATAGAAACAGCAAAGCAATGAACAAAAACCCTACATCTGGGGTGTCAAACTCAATTTCATTGAGCGCCACATCAGGGCTGTGATTGTCCTCAGGTGGGCATGGCCAACTCGGTGGGCGTGGCCAACGTGATGCCACTCCTCAAACTGCTGGCATGTTTCCTCTTCGTGCTGGGTAGACGGGCTGAAGCCAGGCTGGCCCAATCTTTCCTCTTCACATTTGGTAGACCAGGATGGCCTTGAGGTCCGGATCTGGCCCATGGGCCTTGAGTTTGATACCCTTGCTCTACTCCATAAGGTCGCCCTCGGGATGCTCCAAAGCAGGCACAGTTGCCAGCCTTCTATGTTTCCGTCCATGCAATCACAGCATCTTCGTTACAAGCAAAGTCTTAAGAGACCACCAAAAGGCCAGAAGGGTAGACATCTGTCAAACTGTCGGCAGGAAGGTGTCCCACAGGGTAGGGGCAGCCATGGAAATGACAGGTGTCCAAGGTCCTACTTGTTGACATGATTTCAGGGAGGGGTTCTGGATAGGATGTCCACCCTATCTGATATGATGAATTGGGTGGATATTAAGGAAAAGGGTCTTCTGACCAAGGCTTATTGAGACACCTAACAAACACACGTTAGTCCCCAAAGCCTTTTTTCTTTATTTCAGCAGCTGTGGCCTGTGCATGATGCATCCTGCCCGTGGGCTACCATTTTGACAGGCCTGGTCTAAATCCAACCTCTCTTGAATTCCATCCAGCAAAGAGCTCTTCCTAGTTACAACCAATTTAACCCAGAGAATTATAGATCTTCCCAGAACTAAAATGGGAGATTCTTGCATAGCTTTCCTGTCCCCATTGAAACCCACAAACCCTCTCAGATATGACACGAAAAACAAATCATACTTTGGTTTTTTTAAAAAAAGATTGAGTTTACTGCAGTAACGTGGCTTCTGCCTGTCACTTTAGTATGCTGGATTGGACCGACGCAGTTTATTTGTATCCATATAGTTTACCAGTGTGCTTAAAAAAAAAAAATAGATTGCAAAGTGCAGTAATTGTAAAAGTCCCATTCTATGACTCACCAGTCACAATTACTGGCTGGCACTCACTCTGCTACCTTCCCAAGTGGCACAATTAGCGTGCAGCTTGCAGGTGAAGTGATTACTTTGAGAACACCAATGGAAGTCGACGAATTCTGAACATGCACATCATTTAATTAAATGCACAAGAACAAACCTGTTCCCCGAAGAATGTTAATATCCAAACCTCCTCTTGGTTCATTATTTCTGGAAGAGCATTTTGATTGCTCTTTCCTTTGATGGATGCAACCGGTATATTAAGCTACCTTCCCAAGGTCTTCGGATTGATTCCAAGCATATGTTTCTTCAGATGTACGAAAAACATATTAAAATTTGACGACTTTATAAGAGACTGGAAGCCATTTGTGGACTTTCCCATGTGTTAAATACAATAACAGATGGCTAACAGGGGGGTTTGAAGATTAGTGTAATGTTTGGGCTTACCTGTTGACTTCCTTTTTTTAAAAAAAACATACATATTGTTATACATATTATTTAGTTGTTGGGTGGATTTGATTATTAGACGGCAACTTTAAATAAATAAGCAATAATAAACAATCGGGACACGGTGGCTCAGTGGCTAAGACGCTGAGCTTGTCAATCAAAAAGGTCGGCAGGTCGAATCCCTAGCGCCGCGTAATGGTGTGAGCTCCTGTTCCTTGTCCCAGCTTCTGCCAACCTAGCAGTTCAAAAGCATGTAAAAATGCAAGTAGAGAAATAGGGACCCCTTTGGTGGGAAGGGAACAGCGTTCCGTGCGCCTTCTTTGGCGTTTAGTCATGCCAGCCACATGACCACGGAGACGTTTTCAGATAGCGCTGGCTTTGTAACGGAGATAAGCTCCAGTCCCTAGAGCCAGAAACAACTAGCATGGATGTGTAAGGGGAACCTTTATCTTTAATAAAAAATATTAAATAAACAAATACTACTCATCTGGAATATTGGCTTATTTAATATAGCATTTTGTTTCAAAAGCTTACAACCATTCTTCATCAATTCTTTTTTCATCCCCGTAGGTTATTATGCACAGATAATTTTAATACTTCTGTTGTGTTGTAGACCTTATAGTAACTCTTCAACTCTTCTTCTTGCAATAAGCTTATTGGAAAGCTTATAATTATTTGGAGACCCAATATGTAAGGGGAGAGGAATTTTCATTGAATTTACTTTTAAGCTTCCAGCCAGGAAGAATTGTTTATGTTCAATGTTAGATCTATTGATATTTGGGTCGTTCCCCACCTCCATTTTTGTATACAATATTTTTTTGCTCATGGTTAGTGTTGGATATTCATTTTTCTGTTTTTCTGTTTTGTATTTTATTCTTGTTGGTAAAAGAAAATAAATCAAAAGATGTAATAAAATTCTAGCTGTGAAACCAGCAGGACACAGGTGCTTCGAAGAATTATTGGAGGAAGAAGGGTTGAAGACTTGTCCACAATGCAACTGAATTATATAGATAATCTGTGCATAATAACCTACAGGGATGAAAAAGAACTTATGAAAATATTATTTTTCAGAAAAGTCACTGCTGACAGATACTTGTTTTTCTTTTTGCCTAAGTCACTTTCTTTGAAAAAGTTAAAGAATTGGCTTCTGACACAGATTATGCCTTTTTTAGTTCTATTCTGAATAGAAAATCTATATAAAATTTGTTATTTTTTCTTCAACACTTGTAAGTACTGCAAATAAATTTAATAATGTATCCTTATGATCTATATTGATTGTTTCCTAGTATAATTTGATTGCTTATTGTACCCTATGACTATCATTAAGTATTGTACCTTATGATTCTTGACTCTTGATGAATGCATATTTTCTTTTATGTACACTGAGAGCATTTGCACCAAGACAAATTCCTTGTGTGTCCAATCACACTTGGCCAATAAAGAATTCTTTTCTGTTCTAGTAGGCTGACAGCTCATTCAGGACTTTGAGTTTCTAATGGCAGGTGCTTGATTTATAATGTCAATTCCTCCATCAGCTTGGGGAAGGGGTTCTTCTAAATTTGGGCTGTAAATTAGTTGTTAGGTTATAGGATAATAATATTATCTTTCTCTTCATAAGTCACAGTTTAATAACAGCTAAAGAGAGAAGCTTCATCTGTTATTCAGCTATTAGCTCATCTGAATAGCCTACACTGGGAAAATATACTATAAAAACTTGGCTTTTTGGTAAGCTCTGATAGTATTGTTTTGAGATAGCTATAACCTACCAAAATAGATGCTACATTCTTTCTTCTAGATCTGAAGACTTTCTCCTAAAGATTAGTTAAAAACCTGCTCTACCACATTTTTAAACTAGTTGGTAGGTCAGAGGATAACAATATTAGCTTTCTCTTCATAAGCCACAGTTTAATAACAGTTGGAGGCACAAGCCCAGTATAATCTAGGCTTCCTAGAAACCTAGTGTCAGGATTCTAGCAGTTACCCGCATTTAAATCATGAGTCTCGAGCCAAATTTCCAAAACTTCAAAAGGATTTATTGGGAGTTAACATGCCAGCACTGCCTGGGTGTAGCCGACTCTGAGACACATCACTCATTGTCACCCTTGACCCTGGTTTTCCCCCACCCCCTGGGTGTATTGTAATTCATATTCTCCAATGGGACACATCCATAGCCAAGAGTCATCAATCATACTCTCCAGCTAGAATTTTGTGGTGGCAGAAACTTCAGCCACCTAGTTACTATCTTTGAAAAATTATTTATGGAATGTAGTTTTGGTTTGCAAGCTGCCACACAACTCCCCCCGTCCCTTTCTGTTGGCAACTCTAAAAAGACCATAGAAATATTTTATGCATTGACACCCAGCTTAATTGTGGGCTAATGTTTAGATCGACAACCTCTGATTAACACTGCCTGAACAAGCTGCGTTGCTGGACTGAATAGATAAGCTGTTTTTTTTTCTTTTGATTAATTTCTTCCACTGGTTTAAGCTGTTTAATGATAGGGCATGTTTAGTGGCAAGATAAAGGGGTTCCAAAAGTGCTTTTTCAAAAAGAACTGGACTTTCTTTGTTTTTCCTTGAAGACCTTTCACTTCTCAGCCAAGAAGCTTCTTCAGTTCTGACTCAATGGTAGAGGATGGAAAGATTTATATTCCTTGCAGTCCTCTGGTCATTAGCACTCTCTCTGAGAGTCATTGAGGCCACTTGGAGATTTATCTGTGCCCTCGGGGTCACCTGAAAAGTGCAAATGGGTGTGCAGCCTACTTGGAACTGCCAAAAGGACTGTGTTGTAAACTGGAGATAGATGATGTCATATCCCTCGTCCTCTGTTGAGGGAGGGCTCTTCAATTTTGACATAGATTGGCCTCTTTGAACCCCTCTTTCAAACCAGAGGTCTTCTCTGTCCAAAATGTGGACTTTGCTGTCTTCAAAAGAGCAGTCTTTGTCTTCTAAATGCGGATGGATTTCCAAATCTCGTCCTGATGAGTTTGTTCTCCTATGTTGTGCCATGTGTTTGTGAAGCTCCTCCATAAATGAATAGTTACCTCTTTCCCTATTCTTTTCAGTTTTACAGGTGATTCCAAGTTAGCTTCTAGTATGCGCTATGTAGAAACACAATCTATGCAAATTGGAGCATCATATATGATTCAATTCAACTTGGTGATGGGCTGTGGCCAGCAATACACACCCCACATGGACAATCAGGTGAAACTGGAGTACTCCACTAATCATGGCCTTACTTGGCATCTGGTTCAAGAGGTAAGTCTGATTAAAGGAGATATTCCTTCATAGAAAGCGTTTGTAATATATCTGTCTGTCTATCTGTCTGTCTGTCTGTCTGTCTATCTATCTTTATCATCTATCTATATAATTTATCTCTGTCTGTCTTTCTGCCTGCCTGTCTGTCTGTCTATTTATCTATTCATCTATCTATCTATCTATCTATCTATCTATCTATCTATCTATCTATCTATCTATCTATCTCTATCACCTATCTCTATCATTTATCTGTCTGCCTTTCCGTTTCTCTGTCTCTCTGTATCTGTCTATCTATCTATCTATCTATCTATCTATCTATCTATCTATCTATCTATCCATCCATCCATCCATCCATCCATCCATCCATCCATCATCTAAAAGGTCTTCAAACCTGGCAAGTTTAAGGCTTGTGGACTTCAACTCCCAGAATTCCTGAGTTAACATGAGTGGAGGAAGAATTCTGGGAGTTGAAGTCCACAAGTCTTAAAGCTGTCAAGTTTGAAGACCCCTGATCTATATCATTTATCTCTGTCTGTCTTTCTGTCTCTATCTATCTATCTATCTATCTACCTATCTACCTATCTATCTATCTATCTATCTATCTATCTATCTATCTATCTATCTATCATGCAATACTGGAATAATAGAAAAAGCTGCATAAACATTTCACAAATTCATTTTAATTCAGAAATAGAGACTAATGGGGGAATTGTGAAACTGTAGAAATTGATTCAGCCAGAAGTCAACATACACTTAGCTCAAATGTAAAGTTAAATCATGGTTATTATCTTTTCAAATTTCTGGTTGGATAGAACATTCTTGGATTATGGTTAGAAACAAATTAGAAATGTACGTTTCTTATTTGGTGCTAACTCTTGTTTATTATTGTCTCCCAAAAAAGCACATTATAATGTCTGTATTGTTGAACAAGTAAGTTTTCTTGATGATTTAGAGACACCATAGCCCCCAAAGTTAATAAATAAGAAACAGGTTTGCTCTGACCCCAAATCCTGGTATCTGAAATATAAAATGTTTGTAAATAATTCTAAAATTAGCAATCCTTGCACAACATAGTGTTGCTTCAATGCATTTTCAAAATATTTTATTTGTGCAGAAACATCAAGTGGTTGCAGCAGGAAATTAAACAACGCTATAGTTCATTATAATGTCTTCATATTGATTTTCATATATTTGTGTTTGTATGTTTCCTTAAGGAATGCCTTCCAAGTATGCCCAGTTGCCAAGAATTTACACCAGCAAGTATCTACCACTCCAGTGAATATACAAAGTGGAGAAGAATCACTGTACTTTTACCCCAAAAAACATGGTAATAGTGTAATTACTTAGGTTTTTGAACATAGAAATATAGTCGTGTGTCAAGCTTGAATGCATATTACTTAGTAAATACATTGTTTGAAGCTAAAATAATTCCTTTTTTCCCCCTTGGCACAGACATTTGAATGCATCTCTTCCCTCTTATTTTTCTTCTGTTATTTATTTTTCTTCAAATGATGCCAATATTTTATGAAATATACCCAGGATGAAAAAAAATGAATAATTTTGGCAGATAAGCCAAAACTTTGGAAAGTTTTCAGGGTCTTATCAGCCATAGCCATTTCAGCCTGACGTTGATGGGGATCAGACTTTAACCTCTTGCCCTCTTCCCTTTTCCCTTTCTTTTGTGAAGGACTAAATGAATTCACAAAAGAAATCTGACCTTAACCATGTGAATGGATTTTGTGACTGTGATGACCCGGGGGATGGTACAAAGGCAACACAGTCAAATAAGTAAGAAGAGTCCCTTTAATACCTCCAACTTTGCCCCCAATATCCAGGTTACCTTCGGCTAGAGAAAAAACTCCCCCAAGAACAGTCTTTATGTGGAGGAAATTCAGTCTGAAAACCAAGTATATATAAATTGTAAATAAAAATCCACACAAACCATGCTGCAGCAATTAACTGAACAGGGCAGGATAATTCCAGACTTAAAAGGCCAGCAAAACACACACAGTTGGTAAGGCGCCAGGAACCCAGATAAGCCTTGACAATAATAGATAACTCAAGATTTGCTTCCAACAAGTTGCTTTGCGCAACCTCCCCTTTTAAACACAGTGTTCCCAGCTGCAGCTAATGGAGGGAATCAGGACCCTTCCCTCCCCCGTAAGCCACACAACTCATGTTGCTCCCTTCTCCATTCCTCCCTGCATGCCCTAGGATGAAGAGGGGGTAGGCCTAGGTCTTCCTCTGAACTCCCTCTCCCTTGTTCTACCTCTCCCCTGCTCTGCCCCGCTGGCCTTTGCCCTTCCCCAGTTTCTTCCACAGCCAATGGAGCCACACTCCCACTCCCTGTCAGCTGCTCGGATTCCCCCTCCGAATCAGATTCCGACGGGCATGACAGTGACCTTGAAAAATCTTGCATGTTCGGAGAGACCTCATCTGTAAGTAATGCACATGCTTCAAATTCAGATGGGAACCAAACCCCAAAGGCAACTGGACTTTCTTTGAGAACGTTTCGCTTCTCATCCAAGAAGCTTCTTCACGGCCTGGATGACTGAGAATCCTCACAGACATTTGGGATCCAAATATTTCTCTATCCTCCTTTCCCTGTACCCCAGGAGTTCAGATGTCCTTGGCACGAATTGTCATGAATACCTTGTTAGTTTTTCAGCAACATGTGTATCTGCAGGACAACTGAGTCTGCCAGATTTTTGACTGTCCTTTTTATTATCAGAATCTGCCTTATTAGAAAATATACAGCATTTGGTAACTTGTCTTGGAACATATCATCCAGATGCACCTGTTTTCTGGACTTTATTGTACATGACTTATATGTTTCTAACGCTGATGGAAATTAATTTCATTTTTATGGAAGGCATTAACATAAGAACTGGCTTAATGAGATGCAAGCAGCTGCCAGTTGCTGCCTTCATCAACAAATCAACACCAAACGTCTGATCTGCTGGATAATTGGATAAACGTAATTAACAGTTAACTCGGAAGGTAGAAAAACATAATTTGATTGGCTCTTGGTCCTTTGGCCTCCTTAATAGTGTTTTAAAAAGGTAGCACTTACTCAAAATTTATGGGGAAAACATCACTTGTGCTGTGCTTGAAGTGGAATTTGTTTGTTGTACTTAAAAAATGGAATGATTTAAGGCTGTGTGGTAACAAAAGCATGAGGAAAGCAGGAATATGACTTAATTGAATAGGAAGTAAAATACCCTACAGGTCTATATCTTATACAGGTAGTCCTCAACTTATCAACACAACCAAGCCCAAAATTTCTGTTGTTAAGTGAGACATTTGTTAAGTGAGGTTGGCATCATTTTACGACCTTTCTTGCCACCATTGCTAAGTGAATCGCTGCAGTTAATAAGTTAGTAAGCCGGTTGTTAAGTGAACCTGGCTTCCCCATTTATTTTCCTTCCGACAAAGGGGATCCCATGACCTTGGGATCGTCGTAAATATGAAACAGCATCTGAAGCAGTGGTGGTATTCAGCCGGTTCGCACCGGTTCAGGCAAACCGGTAGCAAGGATTTGGTGTGGATCGCCGAACCGGTAGTAACTTCTGGCTGGCCATGCCCCTGACCTGGTTGCCCGGTCTCTGCTCACTCGCCCCGCCCGCCTGACGCTAGTTTGCCCAGTCACTCCTTAAGGTATTTCTTTTTTTTCCCTTCCCGACAATCAGCTGTTCCTATGATCAGCTGTACCAGGATTCCCCTTGCTTACTTACTGCTTCGCCCATGAGGCTTCCCTGGGGCCCAGGGAGGCCCCAAAATGAAGCATGGGGGTGCTGCGTGCCCCCCTCAGACTCAGTTTTCTGCCTTCCTGAGCTCTAGGGAAGCCTTCTGGGAGCAAAAATGCCCCCACAGGAGGCTTGCCTGTGGCCCAGAAGGCCCCCAAAATGGGGGGGGGGTATTACAAAAAGCACAAAAAGCCACACCCACCTAGTCACATGGCCACGTCCCCTAGCCACACCCTCAGAACCGGTAGTAAAAACATTTAAATCCCACCACTGATCTGAATTTTGATCACATGACCCTGGGGATGCTACAAAAGTTGTAACTGAAAAACTGTCATAAGTCACTTTTTTCAGTGTTGTTGTAACTCTGAACAGTCACTAAATGAAGCATTGTAAATCGAGGACTACCTGAAATGGTCAGTTTGTTTTGAAAACTGCACAGAAAAGTTGTAGAACAGATTCCTAACGTTTTCACTTGGGAAGATTTTTTCCCCAAGACAAAAATAGAATTTTGAAAAAAATGAAATAGCACATTTTCTAAAATACCTGCAGTTATTTTTTTAAAAAATATGTTTTTTAAACATATTCTCAAGCCGAGTGCAATTATAGAAATTATAGCAATTATAGAAGATAAAACACTTCAAATGGAAAACCAAGCTGCATTTGATATGCAAACACTCTTATATGTTTGTCACTGGGTTTCAACTGACAAGAGTTTGTTGGTTATTCTCTGTTAGCCTCAATAATATGAATGCAGCTTATTGAATGAGTTGTTCATCCTTTGGAGGGCTGCAATAACTTTTATTGTTATTGGGACACGGTGGCTCAGTGGCTAAGACACTGAGCTTGTCGATCAGAAAGGTTGGCAATTCGACGGTTGGAATCCCGAGCGCCACGTAACGGAGTGAGCTCCCATTACTTGTCCCAGCTTCTGCCAACCAAGCAGTTCAAAAGCATGTAAAAAATGCAAGTAGAAAAATAGGGACCCCTTTGGTGGGAAGGGAACAGCATTCTGTGAGCTTTCGACATTTAGTCCTGCCGGCCACATGACCACGGAGACCGTCTTCGGACAGCGCTGGCTCTTTAGCTTTGTAACGGAGATGAGCACCATCCCCTAGATCCGGAAACGACTAGCACGTATGTGCGAGGGGAACCTTTACCTTTACGTTAATAACTTTTGAGATACTATTTTAAAACCTCCCTAGAGAAGAGTCAATGATCCCTTATCTTCAGATAATTGACAATTTAAATATTGGAAGTTTCATTTGCTCATTTGCTGAGTCTATGAGTAGCTAGGGACTCCTTTGTGTATAAATAACCAATGTGATTCTAGATTGACTGAAATTGGTCATTTATAACTGTTGTGAGCTACTTTATAATACACTCCTTGCTACAGGACTATGAAATCTAGACAACTAGGCCTACACATTAACACATACAAGCATAAGGATGTTTTTAACATTTTCTCCTGAAAAAGTACTTGAAAATCGACTGGAAAATTCCATCCAAGGGGAAAAAAGTGTATTTTATTTTTCAGTTTTAAAAGTTGGAGCAATAAAGATGGTCTAGAATAAGTCAGCTGTAAGAAGCTAATGAAGTGGTCATTGAGAATTTTTGAGAATTCAAGCTTACTTTCCTTAACTTCAAGCTGTCCTTTTTGTGTGTTTGCCTAAAGAATGACCAAAAAAATGGCTTTAATGTTTGATGTTCATTTCTGAAGTATTTGAATGACAATACAGGTAAATCTTGTATGGTTTTTTTTTTCTTACTGAAGCTAAAAACCCTATTCGAATTCTTGCTTGCCAAATGTGTGTGTTGGATTGTTAGTAATGAAACACATCTTGACAAAACTAGGGTCTGACTGAATCTTCACTGACTTGAAAAATGTTTAGGAAAGGATAAACAATAATAATGGCAAATACCTTAATAATTTGATTGAAGTAACATTTATTGTGAGCTTTCAGAATTTATTGTCAACTAAATAGAATAGAATAGAATAGAATAGAATAGAATAGAATAGAATAGAATGAGGGGGGGATTAGAATTAGAATTAGGGTTAGAATTAGAATAAGAATTAGAATTAGAATTGAGCTGGAAGGGACCTTGGAGGTCTTCTAGTCCAGCCCCCTGCTCAATTATATTATTTCAGACGTGGCTGTCTATCTCTTCTTAAAAATGACTTAAAAGTGATGGAGCGCCCACGATTTCTGAAGGCAAGCTATAATGGAAGGCACTTGATATACCAGTGTAAACATTATTTTAAAAAATAATTAAGAGTCAAGAGATTATGAGGATAGTCTCCTTGCAATGCTACTGAATTACATAACCACATTCAACTAATTCTTTCCATTGCTTTGATCCAAAATTTAAGTTTATCTTTTATTCTCTTTGGCGTTCTGCTGGGGATATTCTAAGCTGAATATCAGTTTTATAGCACTTAACACTTAGACTTATATATGTAGATCTCGGAAGGATGGAAGGCTGAGTCGACTCTGAGCCAGTCAAGATTGAATTGCTGGCAGTGGGCAGAATCAGTTTGCAATATGGCATTCTAATCATTGTGCCACCAGGAAGGAGAATAGGAAAGGGAAGGAAGGAAGGAAGGAAGGAAGGAAGGAAGGAAGGAAGGAAGGAAGGAAGGAAGGA